ACAGTGGAGAAGAGGTAATAGGCAGTGTCTGTTTTATAAACCATACATAATTTCAAACATGTTTTAAAAAAAATAATTATACTCATTTAAATAATTTGTTTTTTTTTACTTTTTAAAGATAACCACACAATTTCTATTAAATCTTTGCTCTTTGTGTATGTTAAAAAAATTATAACATTTACATGTATGACCAAATCATAAGTTCGGTATGTGCCTGTTTGATCCTGATTTTGCATTGTGGTCACTTGATAATTATGAGAATCCCTTGCAATAATATTTTATATTACAATCTTTTAATATTATATTTTTCTAAATGATATCTATTATATCTTTTGTGTTGTTTTCTGTGTGTTGAGTGCTGCCTTGGAGAGCCACATGATAGTGGCACTTTTGTGTACTTTTGGTTATCCTGGGTTGGCAGCACTCTTTGTTTTTGTTTCTGTTTTTATTGTCTTTTAATTGTAATTTTAACCCAAAATAAATTTGAATTTGAATGTAGATGTTTTTAGTACAAAATTTCTATTACATATAATTACATTTTGCCTTCTGTGTCTTAAGCTGGGAAAACACTGCATCGGTGACCGTAGTGCGACAAATCCCTTTCCATTGTTACGTTGTCTGCTGTTTTTAGGAATATAAGTACTAAAATTTTAATTTTTCTATCTTTTGTTCCTAGAACTTTTCTGCACAAAACTCAGATTTCCAGAATGAACACTGTCTTCGTAACTTTGATCTGTCTGAGTATCGGCGTGTAATGAACGACTTGGCCGTACATATCTATCAAATGCTAGTCAGAATCATTGAGAACCAGGTCCAGCAAATGATAGGTAAAGCTCAACAAAATTTTATTACATCTTGATGGAACTTTTTAATTAATAAATGTTAAACCATTTCTGTGTATTTTCCATTGTGAAAACAAGTGTATAGAAAGTAGATTTGCACACTGGTGAAATAATCTCTATTGATCCTGCAAGAAAGTGTGCAGCCTAGGATAGGGTAATTCGTGGCCAAATACAACACACCCCCTTACATGTTCCATACATATGTGTATTCTTGCTATGGCTGCTCATGGGAGAATGTACCTTTTTGCTATGTCAATCAAACAGAAAAACTGACCAATCAGAGCCTTTCACAAACACACATATTTGCATAATGTTTGCATTGTTGTTTTGTAGGACCTCAGCAACATTATCCAAGGAATGGGGTTTCGCAGAAGGTTCCATTCTCTGATTCAAAACAAATTTTAATTTTTTTTTTCTAGTTCCTGCCATGCTGGAGAGTGATAGTGCTGGATTGACTGCCAATAAACCTACAGGAATGAGAGGCAGAAGCTCTAGCAGTGTCAACAATCCGCAGCAAGAAATGAGGAACGTCTCCATCGAGTCCATCATTAAACAGGTGCGATTCAAGCCACACTCAAAATCATCATAAATAATAATCAAACAACAAGAGCTATCACTCTATTAAATAGATCAGTTTGAACACAGAATAATACATGAAGGACTTTAGACTTTAAACTTCAAAATGTTCCAAACAGAACAGTAAAAAACATTAAAACGATATATTATTAAA